TGTTTATCATCATAATAAATATTTCAATAAAATATTATTAATAATTATCATCATAATAAATATTTCAATAAAATATTATTAATGATTATCATCATAATAAATATTTCAATAAAATATTATTAATAATTATCATCATAATAAATATTTCAATAAAATATTATTAATGATTATCATCATAATAAATATTTCAATAAAATATTATTAATGTTTATCATCATAATAAATATTTCAATAGAATATTGTTAATGTTTATCATCATAATAAATATTTCAATAAAATATTATTAATGCTTATCATCATAATAAATATTTCAATAAAATATTTTTTCACGGTCAGTTTAAAATCATTTGAATTATTGCCGATCATTAAACATATTTAGTTCGATAATTTTAGTTTACAAATGTAAGTTCTTTTTTTAAATAATTGTTTTTACTAAAGTCATGATGGTAACAAAGAAAAAATTGTTCTTAGCTTAAAAAAATTGAAGGTGAGACGGGGGTTAAACCCTGGTACATTGACTTCTAAATCCAAAGTAGTCACACTAAAGCTCGTCGTAGTGTGACGGGCAAAATTTGACCTTTCACACTTTCTTGAATACCACCAGAGTGAGCCAACGAAAGCTTGCTAGGTTCCGAAGAGTGAGAAAATGAGAACAACAACAAAAAGACCGACTAGAACTAATTATACCGAGAGCCTTGGCTGGACTTTATTTTAAACATATTTACAGGTTTGTGTAAAACTTCTTTATCCGACACTGTTGTTTAAGAAACCTACCAACTTAATATTTCATTTCTTTTACATTGTTTCTATGTTATTTGAAAACTTCACTTTTAATGCGAATTAATACTTAGATCAGAACTGAAAATATCTACTTACTAAAGAGCATAGCTAATTAAGTCTAATGTTCAAAGTATATTATTTATAATGACTAGAATGTATTGTTTAATAAGTTGTGTACTCTCGTTGTCACTGATATTTTCGGCACTATACCCAATAATATCTCTGAGGTTTGGCCGTCCAGAGGATTTAGCTGATCAGAGATGAGAGACAAGAGGTAAAAATTGTCCAATCAAAATGTGTATTATTTATATAAATGAAATTAAAAACAACTCCACTTACAGAGACCAGTAGCAGCAGTAGTACAAAATTCATCATTTTTGTGGTATGTCCAAGTGTAATCAAAATCTAAAAAATAAAAAACAAATTACTTTATTTCAAAACAATAAACAGAAATTTAAATGCATGAATCAACATAAGCTAGGACAAACACTATAGCTTCTTTTTCAGTTCGAGATTTTTCACATATAATCATGCCAAACATATTGTAACCAAATCTTTACTTATTTTATTTTTCTAAAATCAAATCTGATTTCTAGCATTAAATCTTTAGAGAATGTTTCTTAATGTTGGAACAAAATAGTGAACTAGTTAAACTTAACCCTAAAGGATAATATAAAGCGCTTTTCAAAATAACGGTAAAAATATTGAAAGATATCGATATTAAATCTAAGATATTTTAGAGTGGTTTAAAACACTTTGCAACTTCATTCAGAGAGATGTTTGAGTTGAGTTACATTATCATTAAGGTTTTTGAAAAAATATCATCCTAACATCAAAATATTATATTATGGAAACAGAGGATTCCAAATTTTTAAACTCCCAAGTTTTCTCGAACAAATTCACACACGTAGTATATCTTGCCAAAAAAGCTTCCACATTAAGATTTTAAACAATATTTACAGGGATTGGAACACAGTGGGTAATGTCAAAATGAACCCTAATGGATAATACAGCGTTCTGTCAAAACTAAGCAAAAATCTTGTATGTCACTAATATCTGCTGAACTAATGTGTTTAGAAACTCAATATCGCTATGAAAAGCGTTTTCAATCTCTGAGGTCTCTGAAATATTTTCCCATCTCAGAAAAATGAAATATAAAGACTGAAGAAGATATGGAAATTGATAGAAAAAGTTATTTTCATGTGAAGAAAGAAAACTTACTCTTGGCAGGTCGAAGAAAATATAAAATGCTTCACATTTTGCTTTATGGTTATAAATAATATATATATAAAACATGCAATTAATCCCATTACACAAAATTTCACTGGAGTTAGAGATTCTTAGATACACAACAAACTATTGAAAGTAACTGTATAAAAATTATAATTACATTTTGCGTCATTCGTTCAGATTTTTTTTATTTGATTGCGTTTCAAAGATTTAGGTTTAAAAGTTAGTAAAGATCAAAAAACAAGACATGTTCGACCAAACCAATTTTTATTTGATTGCGTTTCAAAGATTTAGGTTTAAAAGTTAGTAAAGACCAAAAAAACAAGACATGTTCGAACAACCCAATGTAGGCGAATTTTTTGAAGTCACATTATTAAAATATGAATATCGAACAAATTATCTTCGCACACTTATGAATATTACTTAATAAACATTGGTTTTTATTTGGAATATCGACGGAATGGGAATAATCAAAAATTAGAATATAAAGCGAAAAAAAGTCTGTAAAATTAACTAGATAACAGTATTGTCTCCATGTTACGAAGACTGATAGCTACAAAACACATTTTTGGCATAAAGATTTCGGAGAAAAGAAATTACAACATTATTGCCCTGGTGGTTTGTGCTGAACTTTTGAGATATCTTACCAATTTTACATCGTGAAACTTCAGCAGCTGTGTTCTCTCCAAAGTTCCTTATTTACAACAGGAGACTACAATAGGGTAATTCTGAAAACAGTTAAAGTTATTGGTTAGCACAAGAAAACCAACACAACTATAGCTATTAGGCCTAAAAATATAATAAAATATTGTTTGAATGCAGGTGGTTGAGTCACACACTTTTAAATAGTTCACAAATTATGGAATTCATTAAATTTAACTGTCGTTTGCAAAAGAGAAATAATTAAAACAGTTAAGTAATTGTTTATAACAGAAAACAGAAATGTTTCCACAAACTTTAGTATAATTTGATTTCTAAATTGTTTCTATTTCCACAAACTTAACTTCAAAGAAAACAAGACAAGATGAAACACTTTTAAAGAAATTGAAGTTTTATCACTTCTTTATGGATTTATATGAAATACGTGGCGACTGCTAAATGAATTAAATCTAAAGCATTGTCTTTTCTCGTAGATAATATAAGAAGAGATTAGCTATGATTACAATAACTGTACAAGAAATACTGGAAAACATCCAGGTTTGAGTTCTATTATTTCTATTTGATTTATTTTCTTTTAACAAATTCTTTCAGGAAGAAATGTAAAGACAACAAAGATAATTGTATAAGCGGCCCAGTTTCAAAACAACAGTTGAAGTTATTGGTGCATGAATACAGTGTACACCTGTTCCAACTCGACGCACAAAGTGTAGTGCTTTTTATCTATACCAGTATACACATATGTAGCTTTTTATCTGTGAAACTGTCATTCAGAAGTTGCACACTGTAATCTGATCGATGACGTGTAACTTGCAAAAGTTAAATGATTCGTTTCGTATTACGAACTGCTTCACATTTGACTTTCAAGTTATCCGTTGACATAGAATATTGCTGGTTTCTTATTATGAACTGTTTTACATTTGGCTTTCTGGTTATAAATCCGTTGACAAATTATATTGATTCGTTTCTCATTACGAATTGCTTCACATTTATCACTCTGGTTATAAATTCGTTGGCATAGAAATTGCCAGGTTTCATATTATGAACGTTTAGCTATAAATCTATTGGCACAGAATATTGCCTGGTTCACACTTGGCTTTCTTGTTATAAATCCGTTGACACAGAATATTGCCAGGTTTATTATTATGAACTGTTTCACATTTCGCACTCCGCTTATAAATCTGTTGATATAGAATATTCATTGCTTTCACACTTGGCTTTCTTGTTATAAATCCGTTGATACAGAATATTGCCTAGTTTCTTATTATGAACTGTTTCACATTTCGCACTCCGCTTATAAATCTGTTGATATAGAATATTCACTGCTTCACACTTGGCTTTCTTGTTATAAATCCGTTGATACAGAATATTGCCTGGTTTCTTATCATGAACTGTTTTACATTTAGCACTCTGCTCATAAATCCATTGATATAGAATATTACCTGTTTCACATCTGGCTCTCTGGTTACCCTCACTCTTGATAATTTGTTGTTCACTGTAAACTATGTATTCAGCTTCATTGGCTTAACCTGCATCAAACGACAAATCGATGTTATCCAATATCACACTGTAATTAGTATAGGGAACATTCATAGCCGTACTATGATAAACAACTCGATACGATTATCCCGTGATTCTGTTTTCGTGTTTTTATTTCAGGCTGGATTTTTTACTTCACAGAGAAAAACTACTAAATAATAATAAAACATCCCCAAATCATAAACACATTAAAAATTAGTCGCTTTTGGTACCTGTTTCTTTCGCATCAAATGTCAGCTGAAAGACTTAGAATTCACAGCAGAAAAAGAACCTTTAATTTCGAATTACTATGTATATCTATCGTGAAAAAAAAATACCACGGCAAGGTCAAAGGTATTTGCTTTTATTTCAAACGCTTTTTTTTTAAAAGATTGTGCAGCTTCCATTTTTATAGATGAAATAGTAAATATTATCTCTTTATAAATACAATATTCTATCAGAAACCAAATTTTGTTAAATCGCGTTTTTTACAGTAGTTATTTTTTCCAAAAATATGCAGTCTCCATCTTGATTCTGAGCGAATTATTTAATGTTGGACTGTAAAAGTGACGATTACAAACAGGGAACATTATAATAACACAGCGTTTGTTACATACAAAAAAACACCTTTCATTGTCTTAGTTAAGCGTATGTAAAGAGGTACGAAAATACGGATCCCCAGTGGCACAGCGGTATGTCTGCGGACTTACAACGCTAGAATCCGGGTTTCGATACCTGTGGTGGGCAGAGCACAGATAGCCCATTGTGTAGTTTTGTGCTTAATTACAAACAAACGAAAATACGTGTCTGTGAAGAGTTGAAGACATTAAATTTTAAACATATCTCTTTGTCGACAAATGTTCAGTACAATAAACAATACTGAAATCAATAATTTATTTGGTTCAATACCCTACAAAACGAAGCGGGTAAATATTCTCTAATTGTGACGAGTATCTCCAGTACTCTGGTTCATAGGGATTATTAATAAACAAAATGTGCAACAAAGCAAAACGGAGTTGATGTTATAATTATGTTACTTAACTATACGTTAAGTTTTTTAAAGTGATGATTTAAAGTCAAAAACAGAATAAAATATTCATCAACAATGATGTATAGCTTTCGCTTTATGTTAACACTTCGATTACCGACTGTATATGTATACCATTCAGTACCGGTAGAGTCCATATTGCGTCTTATTGGGTAACTATAATTTTTTTACCTATTAGAACACCCAGTGTAAAGAACTGACTAAATATATTGTGTGAATTCACTCATTTTCTACGCAAAATGCATAATTTATGGGATTCACTGCAATAAGGATGGCAATTTTTTTAATGATCATGGGGCTACGTTGAGTTAGCACTTTTAAAAGTTAATAGAAAGATGATGAAATTGAGACTGATGAATGCAAAGTTTTTCATTGCTTTTTATAATTTGTGTTTGAAACAAGTGTTTAGTTTTCGCAGAGAGTTCGGTGCATGCGCAGTTTGGTAAATAAATATTTTATTTCAAAGTCATCAACGTCACTACAAAGTTAACTTTTAGTAGGCCTAACTAGGGCATTCACCTTAAGAAATGTATACACATTTAGGTCACCAATACACTTACGAAGAACCGGGAAGTATGTGCTCGTTAACCTGGGCTACTCTACTGGCCTATCTGGGTCACCAAATCACCCTGGCTGAAGGTGGATAGTTATCGATACCAAAAATAACTCCTAAGAATAAATTAGTAGCATCAATATTCTTTTTTTTATTTTGTTTATCAAATCCTATATAAATATAGGGTCACTGTGTGAGTAAAAGACAACTTACGATACCAGTTACTAGCATACTTATTTTAAGCAACAGGACTAATGATTAGACCACATATAGATAAGATGAAATTGGTTATAAATTCAAAAGAATGTTGAAAGTTATTATATAAGACATTAATTTGTATCTTTGAGTAGAATATATATATCTTTGAGTAGCATATATATACACATGATGTTAGAAAAACACATAGTTCAAGAAGTCTTGATAGAAATGAATAAAAACCCCATAACCCGAGCGTTTTTTTTTTTTTTTTTTGTGTAGTAGTAGTACGTACGTACGTACGTACGTACGTACGTACGTACGTACGTACGTACGTACGTTACGTTACGTTACGTTA